GAGAATAAGAAAACTGGTAACTTTAACATAAAGCTGGAATCAGAGATGAAGAAAACTGGCATGCTGGTTTCACTAGAGGTGAACTAATAATGTTTTACCATGTGGCATGTCATTGGAATCTACAGTCAAGCATCAATCTCAGGGAAACTGCAAGGATAGAAATAGTAGCTGGGTTTTTTTTTTGTTCCCTTTTGAAAGCAGCCGTGATGAGAAACCAGCAGTGTGAAACTGTAGAGGAGCTAGAGGAGACTCTCTACTACTGTGCTTATCTTGGCTAATAACTGCTTGTAGCACATTTTGGGAGCAAAGTAATTGTGTGACACGCTTCAGTAAATCTTTTCTTACATCTCTGGATATCTCTTTTCATTGAGATAACGGCTGGTCAGTTCAGACCACAGTGCTTCACAGACAGGCGTACAGTATCAACTACAACTAAAATTGAGAGAACGTTTTGAGAAAATAAGTGGGTCTAGGTAGCAAAGGAGGGCCAAAGTGTTTTTCTATATTCTTCATGCAATTTGCCTTACAGGTATACTGTACCTTTTTAAACACACTTAGAAATAGTAAAGGGATATCTGAGTTACTATGGTCCACAAAAAGATATTACATGCTAGAGATAAAAAGAATCCACATATATCCACCTGTGGATATATAAGTCAAATGGCTCTACTGGAATGGACGTTGACTAATGATCCAATCATGGACTACAATGTGGTTTGCTGCTCATCTATCTGCTATGCCCTGAAATCTTTAATTGAAAATTAACATTTCCTTTCGTTTCTGGCTTTCACTATACTTGTGGCTTCAATATAGGTGCTCAACTAGTATGCTTCTGTTTTTTTCTCACCTTTTTTTTTTCATTGCCGTATTTCTCTACTGTATCACTAGAGTTACAAGATGAGACCATTGGTTAGCATCAAGTTCATAATTGATTGTTTCTGGACAGTAGTATACTATTTTGTGACACCAGAAAATGAACTCGTCTGAGATTATAGGTGGGGTGATTATGAACATCACAGAGCTATGATTGCTGATGGTTATCTGCAATGACGACACACAGTGTTCGGGAAGATGCAGACTTGATGCTCCAGCACTGCCACCTGCGGATATTTTTCTACAAAGAATATACCTAGGCATAGATGTTCCATTGAATCCTTTTAACTAACTACTAGTCATATTCAGTATAGATCTGTTTTTTTTATTTCTGTCAAACAGCAACTATATTTTAGGTGGGATGTTGCAGTGATTTACTAGGGTTTCATCCAAGTAACGTTTTCTATGACTATCTAAATTAGAGAGTAGCTGGGGGTGTTACAGACATCGTTTGACAAAGCTTAAAACCAAATCTGTATAGAATTTACGCTAGTTTCAAGTGGCCTTTAGGAACCTTTGTAAATTGATATGTTAGGCCCTCTACAAAATAATGTTTTAAGAAAATTAATTGTATCAAAGCCATTCAAAAAACTTTTTGGAATTCTTGGCTGTTAAAATTCATAATCATTTGTCATACCAGTTTTAAATAAATCTCGGAATTGACATTATAGCATGGGTGGATATATAGAGGGACATCTAGTATTGGTGTATTGGAATGTACTTTTGTTAAGTAACTAGTGTGTGGTGATTTGCATAGGTAGTATTAGAAGTGGGAATTGGTGAGACTTTAAACATGGAGTACATCAGTAGAAAGATTTCAAGACATTCATATCTACGAGTTTAGCAAACCAACCAAGAGAGTGTAAAATTATGTTCAGGTACTTCCATAGGAATGCTCAGGAAACCCTTCAAAATAAACCAAACATCGAAGAGTGTTAATGGCATTCTGTTAAGGAAATGATGAGGAATAAACTGCACACATAGCAACATACTGTACTAATGTATTCCTAAATAACATTAGTCTTCCCTAGATGTAAGCCATTGCTGCAGAACAGTGGCGTGCATCAGCATCACACCAGTACGCAACATGACTATGACTTTGGATAACATGGGAGACAGATCGACATGTATGTATATTTAGGTGTATGCATGTGAAATATGTGTCCAGGGACAATAAGGTTAAAATGGAAACCCACCAGCTGTCATAATAAGGAGATACATCTAGTGACATAATTTCATTGCTCATTGTCTAAGTGACAGCATGCAGCTAGACAGCCATGTAAAAACATACACAGTTGTACGTCTATACATCCACTTATAGTATACCACGAAAATTTCACTAGCCAACAAAATTAGTGTATGTATCAAACTAGTGGCGGCTTTCTTTTGTTCTGTGCCTTACTTGAAATATTCTTCCACCATTAAAATCGCTTTCATCTTTAAACAACTTAAACCAACACAGATAAACACAAGACATATGTCTAGCCCACCATTTTTTGGAATTAGTTATATTTAGATATAACATGAGCTGACGAGTAAAGACTCCTATCACAACCTAATCACAAGCACAGGACTTAAATCTTAAGCAACAGAAACATATCTCTGAATGTCAATTATATTATGCCTTCTTAATCGCATAGAAATGCAAACTTTCTGAAAGCACAACAAAATCAATAAATCGAGACTGGGTATATCCTACTCGATTGTTTAACCGCTACACATAAACTATATGGAAAATAAATGCTGAAATTATATATCAACAGGTCATTATATGGATAAATATATAATAGTACACACAAACACACGCAGTGTGTGTAATATTGTGTACAATCAGCTTTTTTATTTGTATCTCAAAAATAATAATAACCAATGGCTACTTTGCAATTAAATACTTTTTCATGTCGGGCCTAAAAGCCTTATCTCGAAAATATAATTTATTAGAAGATGGTTGTCTAGTCATTTAATCATCACAGTGAAAAGCCTAAGCATAATTCTGCTTCCTTTTTGTCTGTATGATATTGTGATTTTATTTTTCCTTTTTTATCTGATGCATTTATGATGTCACATGGCCTTTTTAAAAAATATAACTCAGTCTCAATCTTCCTAGCCTGCACAGAAGTAAACCATGCACAAAAAA